TCAAGTGGAGACTCTTATCAGACCAATTGTAACTTTAATTAATCCCTTTAAAGAGGCAACTTTAGTATAGATTCCCAGAGTCACCAGTGAAAAGAAACCCATTATCTCTACACCAGTGGCTGCTGCCTTAAGAAAAGGTACCAGGGAAACTGCTCAGAGGGGTGACTAGCAATAAAAATAGCAGGATGGCTGCCAATCTCTTCGTTAGCTTTCAAAAATGGTGCATAATTTGAATCACTCTAAACATTCAGAACAGAACTTTTAACAAGGGGAAAATGGCACAATACAGCCTTCGACTGGACCAAATGCATTTAAAGGACTGATCTAACATTTATTCAGAGAACTGAGTCTCCATACCTTGTTTCAATACTACTTCAGCTGAGCATCTCTAATATGAGATTCTGTCTTGAAAGCATTTTCTAAACTTTCAAATACCATATAATATCAGCTATAGTCTTGAACAAGTGTTCTGGGAGAGGCAGTCAACTCTAAGAAAGAAAATAATGAGGTAAATGCCACCTGGGTCCCCCAGGAGTTACATGAAGACCTCCAGTAGTGTTAAAAAATCACTGGCCTAAGGGCAGCTAGGTGGCACAGTGGATAAAGCTCTGGTCTTGGAGTCAGGAGGACCTGAGTTCAAATCCAGCCTCAGACATTTGACACTTACTAGCTGTGTGACCCTGGGCAAGTCACTTAACCCCAATTGACCCACCAAAAAAAGCCAAAAAAAAAAAAAAAAAGCACTGGCCTTTAGACTTGGGTTCACACTCTGACACTGACTGACTCCCTGAAGAACCTTGGAATTTCTTCTTCTCCTTTTTTTTTTTTCTCTCGAGGAAATGGGATTAAGTAACTTGTGCAGGGTCACTCAACTAGTGACAAGTGTCTGAGGCTGGATTTGAACTCAGGTCCTCCTGACTCCAGGGCTGGTGCTCTATTCATTTCACCACCAAGCTGCTCCGGGACCCTGGAATTTCAGAGCTGGAAGAAGTTATCTAATCCAATTCAGACCAGAAGAAGAATTCCTTCTCCACATTTCCTACAATTATCCAGAATATCTAGCCAAAATGGCTGCCTAAACAGGAGGCAGACCACCCAACTTCCAAATATCTACTCCTGCAAAACCCTGAAGTTCCCCTCAGAATAAAATTCAATAAAAAACTGCAGTGACTTTTTCCATCCTAGAGCTGGAAAAAAAAAAAAAGAAAAACAAAAAGTTGGCCAGAAGACTACAGTAATATGAAAAGGAGCCAATAAGCAAAGTCATGGCCAGCATCTGCCCAGTGTAACCAGAGCCAGGTCGTGTGTAGCCTTCAAGTCTCCGTGTCCAGAGCAAGCAAGAGTAGAAGTTTCCCCTGAGAAAATCCCAGGGAGAATTCAGCAAGTTCTAGGGTGAAGAGCATGAAAGTAAAAGAGTGCAAAGGCAGCAGACACCTGCAGCACTCACTTATTACAGGACAGGACAGGACAGTCCAGGCCCAGTGGCTCTGATGTCCCTTACACTCCTTCCCCAGATATCAGAGGGCACTGTGAAGATCCAACACTGAACCTCAGACTCAGGGGAGGCCCAATCCTGGGATGTGGAGATCAGGACAAGAACCTAGGGGACCCAGAGCAAGACCAAGCTTGGCCAAGTACCCCATCCAAAAGCTCAGCAGCAGGCATACATGTATGGTCCTGACACAAAACTCTGAGGCAGGAAACAAATACGGAGAGGGGAGCAAATCAAAAACACCAACCAGTGTCAAAAATCATTGCAAATCTAGATATTCCCCCAAAGAAGAAACATGTAACTCTGTAATAACTGCAGAGACTCAAAGAAAAAAATGGCATTTTCTACAAGGCTTACATGAGTACCCAGAAGAAATAAAGCAAGAAAAGAAATTAAATAAAAGTCCTTGAGGAAAAAATTAAAAAATTAAAAGACTATATAACTTTAGAAGAGAAAGTGGCAGATCTTACCCAAGAAATATCAGAATAGAGCAAACTGAAGTCAATGATTATTAAGAAATACTGCAACAAAACCAAAATGGAAAAAAACACAAGAAAATATAAGATATGTGATAACAAAAACAACCAACTTGGGAAACTGGTCAAAGAGGGATGACTGGACTCACTGAAAACCTTGATTTAAAAAAAAATTAAAAAGCCTCAGTACTAAGAAATTGTAAGTAAGAGTTGCATAGATTCATTAGACCCAGAGGTCAGAGTAAAGACAGAAACAATCCACTGATCACCTCCAGGGGACCAAAAAACCCCCCAAAACTCACAAAGGAAAAGTCCCAGGAATGTCAAAGTCAAAATCCAAAGCTGTTATATCAAAGAAAAAATATTGCAAACATCCAGAAAGAAGTCATTTTACTTTATTTTATTTTACTACCTTTAGGTTCACAGAAGATCTGGCAGCTTTTACTTTAATTGGAAGAAAATACAGTATTTAAAGAAGCGGCCAAAGGGGAAAAAAAAAGGCTCACAACCATGAATAACTTATTCTGCAAAATCGAATATAATCCTACATGGGGAAAAAAAAATGGACCCTTAATGGAATAAAAGACTTTCAAGCATTTCTTATGAAAAAACCAGAGCTGAGTAGAGATTCTGAAATATAAATATAGGAGTCCAGCAAAACCTAGAAAGGAAATGATGAAGAAAATGATTTCAGAGAATCCTGGGTAGTATGACCTGATATAGAGTGAAGTGATCAAAACAAGGAAAACAATTTATACAAGGAAAAGGACACTGTAAAGAAAAACAACTTTGAAAGACTTAAGAACTTTGATCAATGCAATGACCAACCCATGTCTCCAGAGGACCTGTGATGAATGAAGCCTATTACCTAACCTTCTGACAGAGAGCTGATGGAGCAGAGACATGTATCTTTGGACATATGTACATTCATTTTTGTAAAGCTACATTTATTTGTAACAAAGGTCCCCCCACCTCCTCCTCCCACCCTTTTGGTTTTTAATGGGGGGAGAGGGCATCAGTGGGAGGGGTGGCCAATAGTGATATGCAAAAAAAGAGGTCCATTGTAACATTTTTAAAAATGCAGAACCCTGTGACCCAGTGGCATCACTACTAAATGTATAACCCAAAGGCACTGTGCTAATCACTTTATAAATATGATCTTATTTGATACTCACTACCACCCTGGGAGACGAGTGCTATTATTATCCTCATTTTACATCTGAGGCAGCAGAGGTTAAATAACTTTACCAGTGTCACACAGACAGGAAGTGTTTGAGGCAGATTTTCAACTCATATCTTGTGACTTGCCCAGCATACACTGTGCCACCTCAAGGCCTCATAAATTTATATAGCCCTTTAATATTAGCAAAGTGTTTAACCTGTTATCTAATGTGATCCTCAAAGTACACCACCATATGTCATCGAGTGCTAGACTGTGAAATACAGAGAAGAGCTTCTTTTAACTTCCTAGTACTCCATCTATTTCCAAATTTCTTTGAAAATATACGATCTAGCATAGTTTGAGGAAATAAGATTTTCTTTTGTGCTAAATTATTACTCATTTAATTTAAATATTCTCATGAAAGCCTGGAAATAGTCTGCTATCCCAGCAAAGCATCAACTAGAGGAAAAGTTTGTTTAGGTCAGGTTTATGTCAATTAAAATTTTCTCCACTATAATTATGCAAGCATCAACAAACAGAAGGCTGATGTTATTAAAATTGTTAAATACGGTAATTATTTGTTTCTCATTATCACCATAACCACCAACATTTCCCTTAAAAAATGTAACAGAAACCTCTACAATTATAGTATTAAAAATAAACGCCAATTGTTGTAGATTCTTGTATTAACACCCCAGCACTGCTCTCCAACTTCAGAAGGCCAAATTTGGGTCAGTAGACAGGCAGAGTTTTTCAAAGCTAAAGTTTCTTTCTCAACTTCTCCATTTCATCCATTCCAGCAGAACACTGTCAATAAAATAAACACCAGAAAGAAAGGAATAGTATTCTCCTCTGAAACTAAGCCTCCTTTGTATTGTTTGCCAGGAGGAAATGATCAACTGGTGAAATGATATTCAGGAAGTAAGCACACCTTATGAAACCTTCAGTAAGGCAACCTTTCTATGCAAAAGCCAAAGGATGCATTACTCTGGTAACAGACAATCTGTTTGGATTTCAAAGTCCTCCATAACTCCAGCCCTTTCTTCCTTTCCAGTCTTCTTACTCCTTACTCCTCTCCAAGTACTCTTCACTATAGGCCTCCTTGCCCTTCCTTGCACAAGACACTCCACCTCCTAATTCAGTATTTTCACTGACATCCTCTCACCCCTTCCTCTGCCTGAAAACTCTCCCTCTCCATCTCTGGCTTCCCTGACCTCCTTCAAGTCTCAGCTGAAGTCTCATCTTCTGCAAGAAGCCTTTTCTAATCTTCCTTAATCTTCGTGCCTTCCCTCTGAGACCACCTCTAATTGATCCTGTATATATCTTGTTGGTACATGGCTTTTTTGCATGTTGTATCCCCCATTAGACTCTCTGAATGTAGGGATTATTTGGTTTTTTGCCTTTGTGTCTCATGCACTTAGTACATAGTATGCTCTTAATAAATGCTAATTGACTGATTGACTGAGAAAAGAATTGTGTTTGGTAACCATCTTAAAATAATAAAGCCAATTTACCTAACTAAGCAAGAATTAAATTTGTTTCTTAGGCAAGCAAAAAACTAAATAATACCCCTTGGGCTCAGGTTACTTTCTTATTATCTAGAAAAACATTTCTCTTTTCACTCTCCAACCCAGCCATCCTTTAAAATCAATCTAAGGGGCAGCCAGATGGCACAGTGGAGAGAGCACTAGCCCTGGAGGCAGGAAGATCTGAATTCATATCTGGCCTCAGATACTTACTAGCTGTGATCCTGGGCAAATCACTCAACCCCAGTTGTCTCCAACAAAATAAAATAAAATGGATCTAAGAATGCATAAATGAAAACTATTCACTTTATGACTATGAAACCACTAGAATTATTAATTCATACCTGTTGATGAACACAAAGCACTGAGACAAAGACATGCATAAAATAGTTGCAGGATTTTCAGCCACTTTGCAGGTCTCTGCCAACAGCTTCCTGATAAAATCCAGGAACCAATGTCTAATTTAACTTCCAACTTCTTCTCCATGGTCTTTATGACAGGTAGAAACAGAACTCTGGAAAGACACAAGGAACAGAAATTACCTGCCAAGTAATTAATAACTTGTTTCTTAAAAAAGTGAACTAAAAAAAGGACATGAGAGATTTGAAGAAGAGGAATTCCAGGTTTTCCTTTCCTCCTCATCTCTGCGAATAAATTTTAAAACTTTATAACATATCTTACGATTACCAGGATAACAACACAGCAAAGGATATGAAGTAGAGCCATTATAACAGGTAGGCATTTCACACCTAGTTACTTTCTAGTCATTATCTAATAGTAAATCAGCACCTTTGTCCTTTTCCTTTCATGAACCACCCTCCACCCACACATCTTCCTTACATCTTTGTATTCATTACTTTAAAAAAAGAAAAACATCCTAGTAATATTATGAGGCTTTAATGAGTTCTGAAGAAGCATTCAAAATCTATTCCAAATGTGCAGCTGTCAACCCAGCCTGGCAAGCAGCACAGGTTGGCAAACCCAAACATCACTAAGCTTAGCAAATGTGCTAAGCACACAGGGAGACTGTCATCACTTTGCTATCCATGCTGGCTAGTACCAGTGAAGATTCAGGGTGCTACAGAACTAAGTTACAGTCAACCCAAGGCAGATTTTCACTAAGCATCAGGCATCTTGAGAAACTAGATTCTCTCATTCAATGCTTTGCTCACAATGATTTTCCAAATGTGATCTTGGTTAAGGATGGTGAGGGGAAAAGCAGGGGAATGATACTTGAGAATTCAGAAACTATATCAATAACTTATCTGCTCTACCAGATATAATGGAGAGCCACAGAAAACACCATGATATGGGGCAGCTAAGTGGCACAGTGGATAGAGAACCGGCCCTGGAGTCAGGAGGACCTGAGTTCAAATCTGGCCTCAGACACTTGACACTTACTAGCTGTGTGATCCTGGGCAAGTCACTTAACCCTACTGCCTAGCAAAAAAGAAAACACCATGATAAAACTACCAACCTAGAATGTAAGGGGTCTCTATGTAACTTATTATTCATCTCACACAGAAAGTCTATTCAGATTCTCCCCAGTTTCCAGAGCTCTTCCCAACACAAATTACTTTGTAGATGATTTGTACTTAACTTTCTATGCAGATGTTGTTTTCCCAAACAGAATATAAGTTCCTTGAGAGCAGGGATTGTTTACTTTTTGTCCTTGGATCCCCTGAATCCAACATAACCTGTCACAAACTAAGTACCTAATAAATGCTCCTTACTTGTTGAATTGAATTACCTACACAGGCCCATCAAAAAACTTCTTCCATTAGTGATGTGGGTGACTCAACACCTATCAACAGTACCTTGAGAGGTAGGCGAATGTGGGCATTGTGAAAATGAATAGTCTTCAAAGCAGAGAAATAGGAGTAATTAACACCACTAGGCTGACAGAGGTGGTTAGAGGCTCAACATTTTGCACAATGAAACTAAGAAGCACAGAGGCTAATTATGCTTAAACACCAAATAAGACCTTCCTGTAAAATCTACAACAGAGCCAAGGCAGAAATTGTTACTGAGATCCAGGCAAGAACTTTCTGACCAATAGCACAAACCACAAAGCAGGCCACTGAGGCATAAAAGGATAATTATTAGAATTCAAAGGATAAAAACCTAGGGAGAAAAGGCACACCCCCACACAGTGGAACCCAGAAAAGCTTACAATACTTCAGGCATTTGGGGCATTACAAGTACACCCAAAATAAAAGCACTCTGTTGCAGCAGCTGTTCTGAAGGAGCAGGGGGTAATGTTTACTTAATACTTTAGGTTGATGGGGGATGTATCATAGTGCAGTCTGTCAACTACATACGTGGAACTCCATTTATGTATTTATGTACTCAGCGATAAGATATGTTTGAAGGGCAAAGAATGCCTGAAACAGCCTATTCAGTTGGTCTTAGTAATCAAGAATAAAGCCAACAGAACAAAAAAAAAAAAACAACACACACACAAAAAACACAACCAAAAAAAAAAACCTAAAACCCACCACCACTGCACAGCTAAAAGATATTTGGGAAAGTTACAGAACAGACTGTCATGAATAGTTTTGCTTATATTTGCACACATTGTTTTCCAAATAGCTTGGAAAAATGAACAGATTGTTCTGGGAGGTCATATTCCAATTTGCTCCTTAGTTACTAGTCTCCTAATCACAGAAGAAATAGTAGAAAAAGTCAGCTAATGCTTTTCACAAATTTTAACATGATTAACTTTGTACAAGCTTCCTAGTAGACAAGAAAGCCCAGCGAGAAGCTACAAAAGAGGAGACGGAAAGACTCCTTTTTTCCTTTCCTATTTGAAATGTGGGGTCTTCTATCTTTTCAATTTTACCATAATTCTTCCTGCTCTCATGTATGCTGCATGGAATGGTTTATTTTGTGTTGATTAGGCAATCTTCAAAACCCTGCATCACTTAGTTTTCCCCTACCCCCTTTCTCTAACATAATTGCAAAGCTTGAGTAGTACCTTTCTCTCTCTCCCTTAATCATTTTAAGAAGTGAAATGAACCCTAAACATCATAGGACTTTTCTTATGAACTGCAGAAGTCACTGGCAACAGTAAGAGGCTGTGGAGGAAGGAGGCAGCACAAGTACAGGCAAGCTTTTCTGTCCCATTACTGCATAGCTGGATATCATGACCTCTTGGTACTTAAGTCCACACCGTGAGTAAACACTGTCAAGCCAATATGAGAGTCGAATGAAGGACTGGGACGCCCAATGGGGCTCATTCAACTTTCAACAAGCATTTATTAAGCACCTATCAAGTGCCAGGTACTTGCTTAGGCACTAGGGGAACAAAGACAAAAACGAAACAGCTCCTGCCCTCAGGGAGTTTACGTTCTAAACGGACGGGTCGGAAGCCTGTTCGGGGCTGGGAAGTCCAAGTCCTAGGCCAGGAGCCAGGACCTGGGGGTGGAGCTGACCCCTCCTCTCCCTCCCACCTACCCGGGGCTTAGGGCCGGGCGGCGGCAGCGGCTCCTTGGCGAGTCTCGACCTCCTCCTCTGGCTCCATGGGGAAGGCGGGAGTTGGGCCTCGGGACCAGCCTGGGCTGGGCTGGGCCGGGCCGGACCGGGTTGAGCCGGGGCCACACGATGGACAGGCGGGCTCAAGGGAGCGGCGAAGACGTGCTTCCCTCCTCCCTCTCAGCTCGCTCCGGCCCTCGGCTCCCCAGCACCAGGCGACCCGCACTCGACTGGGCTCCTAGGGGCAGGTGCTTTCCACCTCAGCCTCCCCGGACGGACAGCGACCGCCGGATGTGGCCTGGACCTCCACCCGGAAGTAATACTGCTGCCGCCACTCCCCCCCGCCCGGAAGGGCAACTTGAGTACCAGGTCCATGATGGAGGAGGGGTTGGGAATGGGGGGGGGAGTAGAGGCAGAGAGACCCCAGGAGAGAGCGAAACTGTGCCAAGGAGAAGGAAACAAATCTCTCTGCCGCATTTCTCCCGCGTTTCTGAGAAAGCTAGTGCCATCACTTTCCCTTCTAACAACCGTCGAGAGCAAAGGGGAGCAGTGCCCACAAGCAACATGGAGGGAACGGGGGCGTCCCCTACTGCTCAACGCCCTGAAGGGCCATTGGTCGGTGCCAGGAGTGAATCGGCCGCTGATTGGCCAGGAGGTGTGCGGGGGTGGGGGTGGAGCTGCCGCAGCAGGAACCCGGAGTGTGCAACACGGTGTGAGCTCCAGTGGAGGCTCCGGCTGCATCTCGATTGGGGACGTCTTCTCGGTTCGCGGCCCCACCCGGGTGAGCACAGCCCCCACCCCAACCCCCACCTCGGGCCCTCGTCTGCACCCTTGGAAGGGACCTCTCAGAGGGGTCGCCGACTTGTGTCGCGATATCCCACGAGGTCATATCGCGACAGCGCACCTTCATATCGTGACATCGCCGTATTCTGGTCGAGGTAGCACCTCGTCTCATTCCCGTCCTCCCTTCTTTCCTCCTTAATTTTTTTTTTTTGGTCATGTCGTCTTTGGGAATTGTCCCATATCGTGATCTTGCTGTGACCTCGTCGTGCCTTCCTTCGTGACATCACCTCGAGTCATCGTGAAGTGTGGCTTCATCATGTTGCCCTGTCGTGACTTCATCAGTGTCGTGTTGTGACTTGGCTGCGGCGAGACAGGTGGCGACCGCCGGGACTCCCCATCCCCGACGGCCCCCGCCCCCTTTCTCTCCTTACCCCTACCCAGCAGTCCATCTTCGGTTATCCACTTTGCAGATCATCTTCCCCCCCCTCCCCATGGAGGGGCCAGGACAGTTTGTGGTTCTTCCCTAGCTTCTCCTCCCTCTACCTCCCTGCCAGCTCCTGTTTGATGCTCGGTGACACCTGCATCCGCAAGTTGACTGGCGTGGGAAGGCAGAAGAGGTGAACCTTAATGGTTAATCCTGCTGTTGCTGACTTGCTAGTAGGATTGGGGGGGGGGGGCGTGAAGGGAACCCGAAGCTGAAGGGTTGGGGGTCCTGGGTAGCTGGCCAGCCCTCATCTACCTCTTGCCTCCCAGCCATTGCTGGGAGCTGAACGCAAATTGGGAGGTTTTTATGGCATTTCCCTGCTCCAGAATCCAGTCTAGGAGGCTGCAGGGAGAAGGGGAAGGGGCTGGAGTTCTCTCCTTTTTGGTTTCTTCATCAGCGGCTGCTCCTTTCTCCCAGTGCATGTATAATTGAGCATCAGCTGTTTCCATCCTCTAGTGTTTTGTCCTCACCACTCCTTCCAATATCCCCCCTCCTTCCCACCCTACTCCTTCCCCCTCTGTGTTGGCCTTTGGGGGAAAGTCTGAGGTGTGTATATTGGGGGGTGTCTAGGCCAGAAGCTCTCCTGCCAAGCCGTGGGGATATAGGAAGGAGAGTGGCGATGGAAAAAGGATTGCCAGGCTTTGGGGCAAAATGCTTGATTTTGCTTCCTAGCTTCTTCCTTCCTCTTACCCCCTTTTTGTAGGTGACCTTGGGCCAGGGACTTAACCTCTCCATCATTGTTTCCTCCCTTTCTGTCATCTTTCACTTCATTTCCTAGAGAGGTGCCCTCATATATGAGGCGAGGTAGCTTTGGAGACCCTCCCCTCCTCCTCTTCCAATCCTCTACCCTATCCGGTGCTCTTTGTGTTAATCCCTCCCTCCTCACCCCCCCTTCCCCTGGTGGAGCATTGCTCAGTCCCTCTTGTGTTCGCAGTTGGGCAAGGCGGGCACCATGGCGTCCGATTGTGAGCCGGCTCTGAGCCAGGCTGAGAGCCGCAACCCCACCCTGGAGCGATACCTGGGGGCCCTTCGAGATGCTAAGAATGACAGTGAACAGTTTGCTGCCCTGCTACTAGTAAGAACCTGAGGGAGGGGAAGGGGCTGTGGGGACCTGCTAAGCAGGTGGGCATACCAAGTTGAGGATGGATCTTTCCAAAGGTGATGGGGCTAAGAATCAGGGGATTTAGGAAGGAGAACCTGGAATCCATTTAGGGTGATGTACTGGATGCCCTTGTATGGAATTGGGTGGAGAAGAGGGGGTCAGGATGCAGGAATAGGGTGAACAGCTTCTTGCTTGAGGGCTGGAGGGGAGGGGAGCTGGTGGCCACATGAGGGTATTGGAGGCACTCACTCTGGGTGTCCCTGGCAGATGGGGGCTGACTCATGGGTGCTGTCAGCGGGTAGTAACTAGTGTGTTCTACTCACAAGCTTGGGGAGTCTTCCCCTGCACTTGTGGGGAAGGCTCTGGCAGTGGGCTTGGAAGGAGATGGTGGGGTCCTTAGGGGAAGCTAAGGAGGGGGTCTTCAGATTCCCCCCAGAATGCTGGAAAGTGGGAGCGGGTGAGGGGTTGAGCTCAGCTAGAGGAGGGTGGCGTGGGGACAGAAGAGCATCAGCCTGCAGTGCTGGGAAGGGTGGTTGGTGTGTGGGGTGAGGGAAGGAGGGGGGAGAGCAGCCAATGCTTGTTTGCCATGGCAACTGAGAGAAGGATGGGAGTCAAGGGCTCACACTGCAGCAGAGGAGGTGTTTAGGTGAAGTGTGAGGGGAAATGTTTTGACAGGCAGATCATGGAGACACAGGAGCCGTTTCCCCCTCCCCTCCCCCCAGGTGGTGGGAATGGATGAGATAATTTTCTGAAGGAAGTATCTTGGGAAGGACCCTCAATCCATAAGCACGGAGGCATATAAGTGGTAGGCGCTAGACCCATTCCAGTTCTGGTTTTTGGCATCAGATTTAGACAACAGAAAGCCCTTTCTAGTAAGGAAGCTGGGGAAATGCTAGAAGTGGTTAGCGAGGGAGGCTGGACACCTCCTCTCCCTCCCCCTTTGCACCAGCTTATCTTCCGTTGCATAAGAAGAGTCTTGTGGAGAGAAGGGACCTAACCCCTGCTTGGGTTTGACTGTGGAAGTATTAGGTGACCTCTAGGGATGCCCAGACGGACTTAAGCAGTCTGCGCAACCATCCCCAACATTTGTTCTCCTCCTACTTAACCCTGTGCCCCAGGTAACCAAGGCAGTCAAAGCTGGTGACATTGATGCGAAAACCCGACGGAGGATCTTTGATGCCGTGGGCTTCACTTTCCCCAATCGGCTCCTCACCACTAAGGAAGCCCCCGATGGCTGTCCTGATCATGTCCTTCGAGCTCTAGGGGTGGCCCTGCTCGCCTGCTTCTGTAGTGACCCTGAGCTGGCTGCCCACCCCCAGGTTCTCAACAAGATTCCTATCCTGAGTGCCATCCTCACCACCCGGGGTGACCCCGACGATGCAGCCCGCCGCTCCATGATTGATGACACCTACCAGTGTCTCACGGCTGTGGCCGGTACTCCCCGAGGACCCCGACACCTCATTGCTGGTGGTACCGTATCTGCCCTGTGCCAGGCTTACCTGGGGCATGGCTATGGCTTTGACCAGGCCCTGGCCCTCCTTGTGGGACTGTTGGCAGCTGCCGAGGCCCAGTGCTGGAAGGAGGCAGAGCCCGAGCTGCTGGCCGTGCTTCGGGGCTTGAGTGAGGATTTCCAGAAGGCTGAGGATGCCAGCAAATTTGAGCTCTGCCAGCTGCTGCCCCTGTTTCTGCCCCCGACAACCGTCCCCACTGAGTGCCTCCGAGATCTACAGGCTGGGCTGGCACGGATCCTGGGCAGCAAGCTGAGCTCCTGGCAGCGCAACCCGGCCCTGAAGCTGGCAGCTCGCTTGGCACATGCCTGTGGTTCCGAGTGGATCCCAGCCGGCGGGTCTGGGGGCAAGTTCCTGGCCCTGTTAGTGAACCTGGCCTGTGTGGAGGTGAGGCTTGCCCTCGAGGAGCCCGGGGCAGAAGTGAAGGAGGACGTGGTGACTGCATGCTATGCCCTGATGGAGCTGGGCATCCAGGAGTGCACCCGGGTCGAGCAGCCGTTGCTGAAGGAGCCCCAGAAAGTGCAGCTTGTGAGCATCATGAAGGAGGCCATTGGAGCTGTCATTCACTACCTGCAGCAGGTAAAGAGAGTGCTTTGGGGCCCCATGCCAGGGGCCACTGGGAAAAATGAGAAGGAGCTGATTCCTGACTTTGGGGAGCCCCAACTCAGCGAGGGAAGCAGTCCCTCCCTCGGGAAGTCCCAGGCTTGTAGACATTTACATCGATGGTTTATCTTCCAAATTGTTTTATGTACATTATTTCATTTTAATGGACATAAATGTCTAGGTAGTATGAGTGTTATTATTTCCTCACTTGATAGATGAGGAGACTGAAGTAAATCAAAGTGAAGTGACTTGCCCGAGATAGTAAGTGGCCGAGCCAGGAGGAAAACCTGGGGTCTTCTAATGCCAAATTGAAGCCCTTTCTACTCCGTCTTCCATGCCTCTGTATAAGCGAGGCAAGACCCTTCCCCATCACCACACTCCACTTCCCAAAAAGGCCCCTTGCCACCCAGCAACATCAAAGCTGTCACTTTGGAAAACATCCTCTTCTCTCTGGACTGGCAAGGAGCCAACCGGTCCTAGAGGTGCAGCAGGCTGGTGCCTCTTTCCAGATGTTTGTGAGTCCATAGTGGCATCTCTTTGTCCTCACCCCAGCCCGTCTCCCAGCAGGGGCAGCAAAGAGCTTGTTGCCAGAGACTGTGATGACCAGCGTTGCTTCTCTCACCCTCATCTTCCTCTCCTCTAATGAGGCACAAAGCTCATGGTGCCCTGTTCACAACCTATACATGCTAGCTTTCTTGGTTGTGGGGAGGGGCTTATGCCAAGCTCTGTCCTGTCATACCCTTTCCTCCCCCATTCAGCCCATTCACTCTAATTTAGCACTTTTTAAAAAATTACAAAGAGCCATCTAGGAAACTGATTAGTTGAATAAACATACAAAACAAAGAATCTTCCTCAAATCCTTGGCCTTTACCGGGCAGAACCAACCAAAGAGGATGCTTCTGCTTCTTGCCCCTGCCAACCCTGCCTGAAGTCCCCCCACCTCTGGTTCTGTTTCTCATTTCCAGCCCTTGGGGGGGCATGAACTATTCAATTGCCAAACCCCTTGAATGGCTCTCTACAGATCTTTGTCTGCAGATACCTCTGTCTCTGTCTCTCTCTCTCTCTTCGCCACCCCCACCAATGATTTTACTGTCATAAAAGCTCCCAGGGTGTAGCAACCTCTACCACTGCAGACAAGGGTGTACTCTGTAACTTCTTAGAGAGTTTCTTGGGGATACTGAGATGGGGAAGGTGACTTGTCCAGGGCTGGCTGACCTCTGTGTATCAGGTAGGCTCTGAAGCCAAGTCTTCCTTACTCTGAGCCCAATCTCCACTCCCTGATGTGTGCTTTTACAATCCATAATGCTACTATGCTTGATTTAGTCAGCCATTCTACAATGGTTGGACACACAGGTGGTTTTCTTTGCTGTGCAAACAGAGCAGCCATAAATGTCTTTGTACAAAAAGGTCCTTTTTAAAAAATTTTGATGTTGTTTTTGGGATAGAGGCCCAGCAAGGGAATCGTGGGCTGAGAAGTGTGACTGGCTTTGAAGCTTTTCTTGCATATTGCTCTCCAGTCTTCAGCAAATATTTTTTCAACACCTGCTGTGTTCTTTAGGGATACAAAGATGAAAAAGTCACTGTCCTTAGGCAACTTACAGTCGATTAGGGGAGGATGTAATGAGCTAGCAGCAAAGGAGAGAGCCAGACAAAATGGGGAATTTGAGAGGGGAAGGCTTTAGGTAGGAGATGCCACCAGAGCTGGACCTCAAAGGAAGAGGCCAAGATGGGGAGGAGGCATTGTGCTCCTGCCCAAAAGCTTAGCGAATATAGAGGATGGCAAGAGGTCAGGGAAGGGAGCAGAGTCCAGGTGGACTGAAGCAGAGTGTGTGGAACAGAGAGTCCAGTGAATTAAAGTGGGAGCCAGACTGCAGACGGTCTGGAATACTGGGTCCTACCCAGCCGCAAGAAGCCAACTTCTCTTTAACTGTTGCCCTCAGGGAGGCTCAAGAGGGAATTTATACACTGAGTTGGAGGTTGGACCAGAAACCTCTGAAGTTTCCTAGACCGTGATTTGGTGAAATCTCCTGTGAGTCAGGCTAGCTTACGTTCAGCTATTCCCAGAACATCCAGCGGGGCGGGGGGGGGCAGTTGTTTTGTACCTGGGCCTTGGGTGGATGGCTTGTACTTGGCACCCCCAGGGGTGGTTGGAGGTGGGTTCCAGGGGATTTAGGGGGAGCGGTAAGGAAGGACCTCAGTCTCACTCTGGATCTTGGGGAAGCAGGTGGGGCCAGAGAAGCAGAAGGAGCCTTTTGTGTTTGCCTCGGTGAGAATCTTGGGTGCCTGGCTGGCCGAAGAGACTTCATCCCTTCGAAAGGAGGTCTGCCAGCTGCTGCCCTTCCTTGTCCGATATGCCAAGAGCCTCTATGAGGAGGCTGAGGAGACGGGCGATCTTTCACAACAGGTGGCCAATCTAGCCATTTCTCCTACTCCTTCGGGGCCATCCTGGCCTGGCGATGCCCTCCGGTGAGTCAGTGAATGAGTGAATGTGGCTAAAAAGTCACCAGCCTTCAGGCCTGGCCATCCTACCAGAAGAGAGTGAGCTGGGGCTCCATGCCTCCTTGGGGGTTGGTCAATTCCAGGTGGCTTCACTTTGAACCTTATTTACCCTTTTTCTCGGCTTTTGTCCAGAGGCTTCCCAGTCAAGGGTGACATGAATATTGTCTTTGTCCGTGGGTGGAGTAGCTCACGCTGGCTGGGGGTTCTTAGGCATGGTTCTGTTGGGCACTCATGTCCCCAGCCAGCTCGTGACTCGTGTCTTTCTCCAGGCTCCTCCTGCCGGGCTGGTGCCACCTGACTGCAGAAGATGGGCCCCGGGAGATCCTCATCAAGGAAGGGGCCCCGTCGCTGCTTTGCCAGTACTTCCTGCAGCAGTGGGAGCTCACATCTCCTGGCCACGACACTTCGGTGCTGCCTGACAGCGTGGAGATTGGCCTGCAGACCTGCTGCCACATTTTCCTCAACCTCGTGGTCACTGCACCCGGACTGATCAAGTGAGGGGCTGGGGAGGGGTTGGACCATTGGTGGTATAGCCTGTTGGAGAGGGAATGGGGGAAAGGCTTGTGCTTAAGGGCAGAGAAGGGAGCCATATTCTTAGAACTTGACCCATGGTAAACTTTCCTACTTTGGACTCTAGTCATTAGTAGGTGGGTTCCCCCTGGGATTGTCTCTAACACCTAAAATTTACATCAGCCAAACCCTTTTCATAGCCCTGCCCACTAGACCTCTTCCCCCAGACTCAGCCCTCTTGACCATCTGCCCCTGCTTTCATCAGTTGTCTAGATCCTACCCAGCCCCAAGAAGAAACAGGTTCTCATGTCATGTCCTCTTAGGCCCACTGCCTGACTTATTCCTGTCCCCTGGTGTGCCCTGTGTATGACTTCCTGAAAGCCCAGCCCAGTTGACCTGGAATGCAGGGCCCAAGGAAGGCTGCTCCAAAACCTGACTGGACCCTACTGATTCTGCCTTCTGGCCCCTCTCCCTCAACGTAGGCGGGACGCATGCTTCACATCCCTCATGAATACTCTAATGACTTCCCTGCCTTCGCTGGTTCAGCAGAAGGGGAGGCTGCTCCTTGCTGCCAACGTGGCCACTCTGGGCTTGCTCATGGCTCGGCTCCTCAGCACTTCTCCAGGTAAGATCCTCAAGGTGGAGCCAGGCCAGGGACACCCAGCCCCGGCGTCAGCTGCTGTTCCTGATGGAACAAATCATTGTTCTGAGAAAGGAGAAAGTGTGTGGGGCTGGTTTTCTATCTGGAGGGCTTTGGGCTAGACACCAAGGCTCTCTAGGAAGCCGACAGTATTTTCAAAAACTGTTTGGAAGTGTTCCGGGTGACTGCTTGGAAGCAGGAATAGGAACAAGATGAAAGTTGTCTGTAGACTTAGGGGTCTGTGGATCCAGAGGTTTCTGCAGCAGAGCCTCCTCCACGTCAGAAATCATGATCTCTCACCCTTGAAGCTGGCACTGCCTCCGAGCTTCCTTCCTTGAAAAACTTTGCCACTTGCTCCCAGCCGGCTCTGTTCATTAACCCCTCAACTGCAGGTTTGCTCTTCACGGAGGTGAGAAACCCTTCCCCTGGCTGAGGTCCAGCCCCCCAGGCTGGAGCCTCCACTCTGACTGTGGGTGTCTGCTGGGTCCCCTTTGTCCCTGACTGTTCCCTGTGCCCCATCTGTTGGGTTGGATGAGATCAGCAGACAGCCATCCAGGAACAGGGCGTAATGTTCTTTGTTCCCTGACTTTAAATACTGAGTCCGAAATTCGGTAGTTGAAAGGGAACCCTTAAAAGAAAGGAGATCTAGTCCAGCTAGAAAAAAGTAAGAGTTCCCATTACTAGTTCCTTGGGGTCACAGTGTGGTCTAGACCCAGCAGGAGGCACAGCCTAGCTGCTGGGAGAATTACTGCCCCCTCACCCCTTCCTCTGGGAGAGGCTGCTCTAGGTGGTACTAGCCCACATGGGACACAGACTTTCACAGTCCCCGGATAGTGGAACATGCTTATGTCTCTTCCAGATCAGGCATATTCTGTCTGAGTGTACCAGCAGGTTTGGGGTTCTCCTGTTCCTCCCTAGTCCAGCCTCAGCTGCTACGGTGTGTGTCTGGGGGTGAGGCTGCTGCAGTCTTGCTGATGAGGGGGGGTACCAGGCCACCCAGTCCTGTTTCTCCCCCTGCTGGCCCAAAGAGAAGAGTAAGAGCATTTGCCACCCCCTCCTGTCCACAAGCTGCTGAACTGTTGAGACAGGCTAGCCGTGAGTGATCTCCAGGGCGTTCCCCCTTCCTCCTTGGCCCCCAGCCTCTGCTCACAAGGCTGGCTTTCAGTCATAATAACATCCATCAAGTGCTTTTGCTTGCATTTTCATTGGTCTTTCTAACGGCCTTTCCAGGTAGCTAGTATGATTATTATGAGCCCATTTTACAGATGAGGAAACAGGCTCAAAGCGATGAAACCACTTACCTGAGATCATGCAGGAAAAAAGTGGCTGTGCTTAGGACCCTTGAAGCCCGGCCTCCTGTCTCTCGATGCAGGACTCTTTCCACTGGACCGAGCGTAATTGTCATTGTGCACGTACATGTACTACGTCCTTGTACAGACCTGTAGCACAGTGACTTTGTGTCCCCAGTACAGGACCTGGCCGATAGCAGGTGCTTAATGAGCTCCTGTTAGTTGTAGGATTGGTTAAGCCTCTCTCATTGCTGAGCCGTAGGGTCTTCATTTGTAAATTGGGCATCACGATACACTGCTTACCTCACAGAATACTTAGTAAGCCTTACAGTGCTAACTCAGTGTTCCAAGGCCAAAGGTGAATAGTACCGGAAAGTTGTCTCTAACCTGCCTCTCTCCTGCTGCCCCTCCGATGGGGTGCAGTTGGGACAGAATTCAGGGTAGAGGGCTGCCTCTGCCTTGCCTGAAGTTCTCCCCCTCCCTGTGCTTGTATTGCAGCTCTCCAGGGGACCCCCGCCTCCCGTGGCTTCTTTGCAGCCGCCATCCTTTTCCTGTCTCAGTCCCACGTGGCCAGAGCCAGCCCTGGTGCCGAGCAGGCCACTCTGGCCCTAGCCCCCGACTATGAGGGGGTGTGGGCCGACCTGCAGGAGCTGTGGTTCCTGGGCATGCAGGCCTTCACAGGCTGCGTGCCTCTGCTCCCCTGGCTGGCCCCAGCTGCCTTGCGTTCTCGCTGGCCTCAGGAGCTCCTGCAGCTCCTGGGCAGTGTCTCCCCAACCTCAGTCAAACCTGAGATGGTGGCTGCCTACCAGGGTGTCTTGGTGGAGCTGGCCCGAGCCAACCGCCTCTGCCGGGAAGCCATGCGGCTGCAGGCCGGGGAGGAGACTGCCAGCCACTACCGCATGGCAGCCCTGGAGCAGTGCCTCTCAGAGCCCTGAGGGAGGCGCTTGCCTGCCACCCCCATCTGGCCCCTGCCCTGGCCACCCAGGAGGGAGGGGAGAGAGGGAGGGAGGGAGGGAGGGAGGAGGTACCTTCCCCAAACCCGCAAGCCCCCAGCTTTCTGGCTTTTCTGTACTCAGCCGGGCCTAGGGCCGGAGCATGGAGCTGGACCCCTGGCAAAAGAGCTACAACCTACTCCCCTGGGGTGGGGAAGGGCAGCAAACAGCAGTGTTGTGACTTGTGGAGGACTCAGGAGCCTTCTTCCCATCAGCCACAGCTTTGAAATCAGTGTTTGTGTCCCTGAGAAGGATGGTGCAGGTGGAGTTCCCCCAGGCCCACAGTATGGGGTGCCTTTCCCCCAGGAGGTAGGGCAGAGGAGGTGAGAAGGGACAGGTAGGCAGGCAGGCAGGCAGTGGTTGTGTGGGCTTCAGTCTCTGCCGGTGGGCCCTGCCGGCCAGGGCATGGGCTTCCCTTCCTGTGACCCCCTGGGATCTCCTGGGGTAGAGATGGGATCGATTGAATCCTCCCTGACCTTGCTAAGAAGAGAAGAACCTTCTCTCCGACTGAGCCCCACCTTGGGGACCCAGGGGTCTGCAGGCTCTAGTTCTGATGGTGGGTGATGTTGGGGGAAGATGATTATTTTTCTTCCTGCACCAAGCTTGGATGTCTCCCCTTCTAGCCCCTGCCTGCCTCTCACCCTCCTGCCCTCTAGCCCTGCCCTGCTGGAGCCAAGAGCCGGGGGACAGTTCCCTGGATCCGCATGTCTCCCTTCCTTTCCCCTAGTGACTGATTTTCCATTGTTGTGTTGGTGCCTGGCTTCAGCTCCCTTTCCCTCCCAGCAACTGACTTCTCTGCATGGAAACTTTGGCAGCCGTCAGCCCCAGCAGACGCTGTCTATCCCACAGGCATGGGGAGGGGGTCCCCTTGCCCCACTCACCTCGTGTTCTGTAGATGTGCCAAGCTCGAACTGTATGCCTGTGGACATTCAATAAATAGTTATTGGTGATAATGGAGTTGATGTGCCATCTGTCTGCTGATTAATACCCAGCCCCTGAGAAGTCATGGGCTTCTGCCATGGTCCACAGGGTTGTGGAATGAGACTAACCCAGGAATCCGTGACTTTCACCTGGAAGCTTATTACCGGGCTTAAGACCAACCAGCCTGAGTCACCACCCCCTCTGAAGTGCTGTCCCTGAGCCACGTCTGTGCAGGGCCAATTGCTCAGCCCCGAGTGCTAGAGTTGTAACTAGGATGGAGCAAATGAGACTTTGCCTGGGGTGCTGAAATGTTAAGGGTCCTCCAGTGGGTGACCACCCCCAGGTAGGCTTCTCTTGCCCTCCCCCCAACCTTAGTCCATGGACAAAAGCTGCTGTATACTGGTTTGGGTGTTGGATCCCAGAAAAGACAACAGCCTGGCTTAGGGAGAAAACCAGAAGGCAAGTTTACTTTTCTAAGAAGTCCTATTCCAACTTCATCAGCCCCTAGAGTCCAGCTGAGGATGATGTAGGTGGGGGTGAGACCAAAGTCGAGCTGCTGTTGTGAGATGTGTCCACCAGGTGTCACTGTGAGATCTCTAGTCTTCCATCCCCAGTCTACCCATCCAGCTTACCCTTCTATTCAAGGCCCAGACTAGATTGCAGGATTCATCTGGACACAGGAGTAGCACATGCTCGGGAGACCGAAGGACTTGAAGCCAGATTGGGCTTTCAACTTGCCAAGAAAAGCCAAAATACAGTTTGGGGCTTTGGCAATGAGAAGGGAGAGAGAGTTGGAAGGCCTCTTCACTGGATGGCGGTCAAGAAGCCAGTGTGCCTGGATGTGTGTGTGCCCAACTGTGCACCTGTGTGGCTACTTGGTGCCTCTTTCCCTTCCCAGGCCCCAGCTCAGGGAGAGTTCATCTCTGTGTGTATGCCTCATCCTCTACCAGCCTTGATTTCCTTGTCCAAAACGGGAATAATCATGGTACCTACCTCATAGGGTTATTATGAGGATAAAATGAGACGATATTTATAAACCTTAAAGTCTCAATCTTATCCATTCATTCATTCAACAGTTTGTATTGACTACCTTCTATGTGGCTACCCCCAAAGAGGAGTCAAAGATCCAACTGTTGCCCAAACTGGGGAAACAAGACACATACATAAAACAGTCATGGTCACATAGTGGAAGAAGTATCCACCACAGAGCCAAAAGCCACTTACTAGCTGTGATGAGGCCTAAGTCACCTAAGATTTTTGGGCCTCAGTCTCCCCTGGGAAAGAAGAGGATTAGACTCAGCAGGGTAGTAGTGTAGAAAAAATGCTGGATTTCAAGTCAGAGAACCCAGGTTCAAATCCCAGCTAGGCTACTTACTACAAGATGCTTCACACCTCTTTGGACCTCAGTTCCTCATGTATAAAGGAGAGAGAGATGGACTAGAAGATTTCAGAGCTTGCTTCTGGGTCCTTTTATCAATGAGGACTCTCCCAAACTTGGAAAACCCACGTACCTATGGTCAGCCTCGTGCTAACCAGGGAAGTGCAGACATATGGAGAGGAGTTCAGAGACGGAGGAGTCCGCCCCATAGCCTGGAGTTGTCAGGAAAGAAGCTTGTGGTGGGAGGAGGGTGGGGAAGCCAAGGAGAGATGGGACTCCAGTGGGAGATTGGGGTAAGATTGTAGAGGACCTTGAACTCCAGGTTGAGTGTGACCTTTATTTAACAACAAGAGTAAACTACCTCTTTCATCTCTCCCTTATCTATCCCTAAATGGAGAATCCCCAGTTTTACAGAAAGGAAAGCCTCCCTTCCCCTCCACAAATCAATCCCTCCCCTCCCCAACTTACGTCTTACTAAGGGCTCTGCAGGAGCAGCTAAAGAAGAGTGAATATTATCGACCTCTCTTTCCAGGGAGTGAGTGTGAGTGTGAGTGTGAGTGTGTGTGTGTTTTGGGGAAAGCCAGGGGGAGCTGAAGCAGAACAGTCTTTCCCAGTGGGTCTCTCCTGTGGCTTCTGGAGCTCAGCTATACCCTGGCCCTGCTTTTGGAGTTGGCCTTGATTGCTTCACAAGACGGGTAGGGCAGGGGCAGCTAGGTGACGCAGTGCATAGAGCTCTGGCCCTAGAGTCAGGAGGATGTGAGTTCAAATCCAGTGTCAGACACATGACACTTAACTGTGTGACCCTGGGCAAGTCACTTAACCCCAACTGCCTTACCAAAAAGCCAAAAAAAAAAAAAAGAGTGGTAGGGCAGTCCTCAGAATGTAGGCACAGGGTAAATGCCCTATCACCCCCAGAGGGAACCTTTCCTACATAGTTAACTGACAGCTCACCAGGAGACCAACATGGCCTATCTGGACCACCTACCAGCTTGTAAAGACAGTGCCATACAATGGAAAGAAGGCTAGATTTGAAGTCAAAGGACCTGAGTTCAAATTCTGCCTTTATCTCTTACTAATTATATGACTTTGAGTAAATCCCTAAACCTCTCAGGTCCTCAGTTTCCTCATCTGTAAAAGGAATGAGTTGGACTAATTGGTCTCTGAGTGAGTTCTATGATCCTATGAGGTGGCACAGTGGATAGAGTCACGAAGAATCGGAAATGACAGAAACGACCCAAGGACAAAAGGGTCCCAAGAGAGACACTTGTCTCAGCTCTCCGCCAGGGGGCCTTCTGAGTCAGCTTACACCGGGCCCCTGGGCTGCCAACCTTCTTCCCTCCCTCCTTCTAGTCTGAGCCCGTGCTGGGCTCCCAGGGTCTAGGGACACAATGACAGAATCAGCAGCCTTTAGGCAAACCCATAGCTGAGTGGGAATCCCCTCTATGACATTCATCTATTCCAAAAGCACTTACCTGGTATTATGTGCCCAGCACTGTGGCAGACACCAGAGAGAGGAAGGCAAAAAGGACGAAGCGTCCCAGGTTAGTCAATAAGTCTACAAGCATTTATGAAGTAGTTGCTCTAGAGAGTTCAGCACTTTCCTCTCCCCACAGATAGAGGAGTTGTCAGGGACCTTCTGGGTTTAGGAAGCAGCTTAGGAAAGGGAAGGGGAAGGCCTCTCTACATGGATTAGCCTAGGCTCGTGGACTAGGGACACTTCCTCTCTTCAGAACCTGACCGCTCCTCCCCAGGAGGTCTCAGGCTCCTGCTGTTTCCCCCCAAGAAAAGGCCCTAAAGGAAAAAGGTAGTGTAGCCACCATCTTTTTATCTAAGGGCACTGGACCTGGATTCCGGAAGATCAAGGTTCAAATTCAGGCTCAGGCACTTAACCTGGTTGAGTCACTGGATATTTTTCGTTTTCTCCTCGGGGAAATGCAGGAGTTGGAATCAATGACCCCAGCTGGAAATCCATGATCTCATTACCAATTGAAAATTTCCCTTTTGTTCCTATCTTCACCCCTGCACCATCATGTTCCACTGACCCTAGTCTGGGCACCTCTTGGGTGGTCTTTATTTAGAACAGAGAACACTGGGTTGTTGAAGGAAGAGTGAAGTAGGGAATCCAACAATGGATGATGAGTGTAAGTAAATGCAGGCCCACTTTGGAGGCAGCTAGAAGGCACAGTGGATAGAGCACTGGACCTGCAGACAGGAAGACCTGAGTTCAAATCCTGCCTTAGACACTTATCTGCTGTGGGACCCTGGGTGAATCATTTAATCTCTGTTTGTCTTAATCCACTGGAGAGGGAAGTGGTAAACCACTCTAGTATCTTTGCCAAGAAAACCCCATATGGGGTCATGAAGAGTCAGACACAACTAACCTACAACAAAGATGCTGGCATGACAACATATGCACCCTACATACATTATGTGCAGGGGTTTCCATTAGCAACTTTAAATGCTATCTCTGCCTCGAAGTGAACCTTGCTTGGGGACTACTGAATCTCCCTACTGCAGGCATGGGACATACTCATTGAAGCCCAGGCAGAGAGGATTGAGGACAGCTCCTGAGATGCTGTGGATCCATTTATAGACACAGGCTAGAGTCATCCTTTTGTGCTGATCACATAATAAAGGGGGTCGGTGGTTGAGTTGGCCCTTCCTCTTAAAAAAAAAAAACAACAACAACCAACCTCTTGAATTAAAAACAAAACAATATTCCCCGGTGAGTATGTCACTGCTGCCCAGGGCAGCATTCTTATTACACATGTAACACAGAGCTGAACACAAACACAACTTCACACAAACACATATGCTCCCACTCCCACATCATTTCTCACACACAGATACGCACGATTGCTCAGGACCATCACTTCTGATCTATAGATCCCTCCCAGGGCTGCAAGAAGACAGCTTTTTTTTTTCCCCTCTCCAACCCTCATCATCTCAGCCTGTTGTCTGAGACTACAAACTCTCACAAATAATAAGATCAGGCTTTGGGCTACCTTAGGTCTGCATTGGGAGAGTCCAACTCACTTAGGGCTCCTTAACAGTGTCTGGCACATAGTAAGCATTTAATAAATGCTTGTGTCCTTCCGTCCTTGCTTGCCGCTGCCAGCCCCACCCTGCCCTAAATCCCAAGGGGAATCTGAGAGGGACCTCCTTCCAGACAAGCAAAGAGAAGCTATTAGTTGTAGGGGGAGCAGAAGGCAAGGAGAGATGGTGGTACAGCCCTTACAGCTGGGACAGAGACTATCTTCTTGAATGTAATGGGTACTCAATAAATAGTTGCTGGGTTGAATTAGTTCTTACCTGCTTTATTTCTTTTTTTTCCACTTTTAGGCCTTTCTTTTCTGTCCTCCTCCTCCTTCCCTTCTTCCTACCTCTTTCTTCCCTCTTTATCTTCTTTCTTGACCATCTTGCTTCCCTCCTCTTCCCTCTCTTATTTCCTTCTTCCTCCATCCTTCCCTTTTCTTCTTTGTCTTTTTTCCTCTTCTGTTTGCTTCCCTCACTCCTTTCCCTTTCCCTCTCTTCCTCCTCTTTGTTCTCTTTCATTGTAGCTTTCCATTTTCTCTTGCTTCCTCTTCCTTGATTTTTGTTCCTCTCCTGACCCCTTGATTTTCAGTGGCTCCTGTCCAGTCCCTTTGAGGGGAGAGGT